GCAGATAACAAGTTGGTCTGACTTGCTTTGAAGCGCAAAGCGTTTCCCCTGGAGGATGTGGGCGTGGCGGCGTGGAGAAGTCAGAAGTGACGCCGTTACAATACGTTTGGCTCTGAATTCCACAGATTTGATCCGAGGTTCATGAAAATCACTATGATCGATCATTGCCCGCCCCTTGAACAGGAAACAATGATGATTGCGCAATAGCCTCTCTAGCGCCCCCTAGAATATTTTAAAACTTCAGCCCCGAGCCGTTTTTCGACCGATAAATCTGAAACTCGGTGAACGTGTGTATCTTCTCAGGACCTATGAAAAAGTCTCTTGGCGCTCCGGTCCAAAACCAACAGGAAGTCGGCCATTTTGGGTCAAAGGTTAATTTTTGGGCGTTTTTAACGGCAAATTTTAACGAACTCCTCCTAGGGATTTTGAAGGATTGACTTAAAACTTGGTTATTAGGCCCTTAAGACATTGGAGAGTAAAAGTTATCAAAAGCTTTCGGTTTCGTTTTGTTAAAGGGGCGTGGCCAGGCCTCAAAGTTGAGCTTCACGCCATAAATTTCTAAACGTTATAACTTTCAACTTGAATGACAGATTTGCACCAAATTTGGCATGAGTCATCCCTCTCCCATGCCCGACGATACCCTGAGGTCATATTGTGACGTCATCGAAGCCCCGCCCCCTCAGAACAGGAAGTGACTTTTTTGGCTTGGAATGGTCCTTCTTTGACACCCTTCACATAATCAGGATGATCCTGTGTTAGAAGACAGATAATATGGTCTGACTTGATTTAAACAACAAAACAGTTATAGCTGGAGAATGTGGGCGTGGCGCCATGGCGAATAAAAAAGTGACGCCGTTGCAATACGTTTGGCTCTAAATTGCACAGATTTGAACCCAGATGAACCAAAATCACTATGATTGATCATTATCCACCTCTGAACAGGTTTCCATGATAAGTGGCCAAGAGCCTCCACAGCGCCACCTACATTCTTCTTACAGTTATATCTCAGTGATACAACATCCGATCTGAACCAGATTTTTGGTGCGTCATTACTGATAACTGATGGACATTTTAGTTGTGTTGTTTAATATTTGACTCAAGGGCGCCCCCTACATTATTCAAACTGTTTTGTCTCAGTGATATATCAGCCGATCTGCACCAAATTTATGGTGTATTATTATTTAGCCCTGGTGGACACAGTAGTATAGTTTTTTTAAATTTTGACTCTATAGCGCCCCTTACAATCTTGCAACAGTTATATCTCAATGATATATCATCCGATCTGCACCAAATTTTTGGTATATTATTATGTAGCCCTGATGGACACATTAGTAATGTTTTTTAACTTTTGACTCAACAGCGCCCCCTATAATATTCCAACCCTTATATCTCAATGATATATCATCTGATCTGCACCAGATTTTTATGGCATAATGTGTGACCATGTCTAAACACATTGTTAGAGTTGTTTAAAATTTGACTCAAGTGCGCCCCCTAGATTATTCAAACTGTTATATCTCAGTGATATGTCATCCGATCTGGACCAGATTTTGGGTGCATCATTACTGAGAGCTGATGGACATTTTAGTTTTGTTGTTTAATATTTGACTCAAG